ACACGTACGTGGATGTCCCACCAAAAGTCTGAAGGAGAAGGTCAGCGTGCCTCACAACTGTGATCTCGAGACTGGTCAAGAGTGAGACAATGGGAGGAGAGGTGCTAACAGGTGTCTCCAAGATCCTCACCACCAAGCAGGACGAGAGAGCGAACTGCAGGTGGTGGAGGCGGCATGGAGATTTTGTCATGCGACCTCTGAAAACTCATTCATAAAGGCGGTGAAGTAAAAACCGATCTTCAAGTTGTCATGCCTTGAAGTGAAGAATTACTTGTTGTCACTCTCTGAAGAGTGCTTTGCTGTGGAAACGTCCAATTTAAAGTTAGTTGTCATCCTGCCAAAGTGTTGCCACCCCATAAACTAATCACACATGTGTGTGCTGACGTAATGTTAACCTTCAGGTGTTGTTAGCAGGCTGTCTTTAAAGAACTACGTGATTTAAGTGGCACTTCGTGTGCTGTGAAATAGCGATCCAGGAGGTCTTGGCTAGAAGTCGCCCTTTCCCAAATGTGATTGCATGCGCCAAACGCTCACCGGTGCCAACGGTTTCACTGCACCGTCTGCAACAGGCAATGTATTTCGACTGTGCGAGAGGTGGTGGGAAGTACGGACTCAAAATCAAATTATTCATGGAGAACAGTACATCGCCTGTCTTTAAATAAGCTTCTTTAAGCTGCACTTCAGTGTCGGGGCTTGTCATCAATCTAAAAGGTCGAGTAGGGTGATTTGATCGCCTCCATCTTTGGAGTTATCAACATTACAAAAAAGGTTAAGCAGTTGGATTTCAAGTGGAGCACAACGAAATGCATTTAAGAGGATAAAAACCGAAATGTAGGCAACATAGAGAGATCCTGTCATAGTGAGCTACGGAAGTTACCACGGTTTAACAAGTTCAGTTAGCCCCTAACGCAGTGTTAAAGGAGGCGGACGCTACGAGGTTGACTCGGTGCTCACATCAACATCCCTTACAAAAAGGAAGCACATTTTCGAACACAGAAATGCCAATGGAGATGTGTGAAATATGGAAATTGATGACTCGCCTAACATTCAGAATATGGAGACCCGATTTCGAATACAAGTTGTGGAGTGCGATGACTTGAGTCCTTCCTCACCTGATAGATGTACATGATTGCAAGATTGATGAAACCAGTGACGAAGAGACCGATAATGATGCACCGATTGAGATACTTTGACATGACAACGATGCGCATTGTTACCGTCACCACCAGATAAATGTAACAGGCGTTGGAAAACATGTTGAAATCCACAACAGCATAGGAAGTGTCCGATTGGAAGAACTGAGCCTCCGAAAAATTCATTCCACCAACGAGGACGCAATAGCAAACGTAGTAGATGACAGTTCCATGCCACCAACCGTCAACCACCCAAAGCAGAACGTACCAACAGCGAAGGTTTGCAGACAAATTCATCTAAGAGGCAAGAAGAGGAGAGAGCAAAGTTCCGAGGATCCTCCTGTGGTCCAGCAGAGAGAAATTTGATAGCACTCACGAGACGGTACAGGTACGGACGGTGCATCAGGTCTTTGGATGAGATGTGCTGCTCGAAGAAGCCAAATACAAAGGGCGAGAACGAGGTGAAGGTAAGATTATATAGAGTGTAGAGAAGGCTGTCCAACATTGACTGTCCCGAGAACCCGTCGTAGAACATTTGGTATAGTTGGATGGCAACAAAGGCCACATTCTTGAAGTAGAAGATGTTAGCTGTCATACTGATACGGTAGTAGTTCCAGTGACCGTGAACCAATATCAGACGTCGAAGGTGTCTACAAGTGGGAACATACGTTTGGTTTCCTCAAAATTCCCAATCACTATTTGCTCCGGTCCCCCTCCTTCTGCCAACCCCATCTGGGAGGCGAGGCAGGCGACTGGAATGCAACCGCTCCTACCTGAACAGTGGCATCGCGTAGTCTGAAGCCCTGACAGCCTGTTGCCCCTCGTTTCCGTAAATCCCAAAGCCAACACTGGCCTCAAGTAGCATCGCCACGTCGTTGCCGCCATCACCGACGGCCGCTGTGACTGGACGACCACCACCACCGACACCGTCGAGGCCATGACTCACCAGACGCACCACGGCCGCCTTCTGCAGTGGTGTCATGCGACAGCACAACACCGTGGTGACGTTCATGCAGAGACGCAAAAATTCATCTCGAAGTACTGGCTAGGGAGGCATGGAGGGTCGAGTGTTTACAGTATGACGGAATGACAAAACGATGTCAAGGCTTGCTTCGTAGGCACTCCTTTTGAGTGAGCTAATCTTGAACATCTCACGAGGCAAATAAAATTGGTCGTCACCAAAGGAGCTCTGCTAAACCATTTTTTCGCTATCTCCATTCGAGAACGCGAATTGTGGTTTTGTCTTGAATGTGATTGAAATGTGAGGGTTGAGGGTAGCACAAAAGAACTCGCTGCAACAGGGAGTGTCTGCCACACGCTTAATTCATGTCGCTGTAGCTGCGATTAGAAGTTGTCTAAAACCATCGTGGCAAAACCGGACAGACGTGACGTTATCTCTTCAACTTTCAACGCAGCAGTGTCCAAATCAGATCCAAGACCCTCGACAACATCGAACCCAAAAGGGCTTAAATGTGTGGTGTTGGACAGCCGCACTGCCTTCCAAGCCGCAAGCCTTCAATAGTGCTGTTGTAAAGGTTAATCGCGAGGTGGAATCGAAAAACGCGTAGTTTTGATGGGAGCCAAATGGAAAAGTAGAGGAGGGCACAAAAGGCGATAGTCGCAACAAGACAAAGCGGTACTGTAACAGCTAGGTGCCACAATATCTCCTTCCTCTGCACTTCCAATTGCCTACTCTGCCAACTCACAGATCAGATCTGCAGTCTTGCAAAAGTTAGATGAACCGACAGGATCGCACATTCCTTTGTCTTCACACTCACCACAAAACCACCCATTCTCAATCCCACAAACTCATCACCTTCCACTAGCAGCCACACGCTCCTGTTCTGCTGTCCACTTTAAGACCTTCAACTACATCATACAGTAGTCTCGGCCTCACCTCCACCCTTCCCCTACCCTCCTCCACTCCGCCCACCACCGAAGCACTCACCGTAATAGCGTAGCGAAG